TCCACCCCAGAGGAAACGGAAAGGGAGCCAATAGGTCTTGTTGACCATTTAGCTCCACAAGCCTTGGTGACAACAGGATGAACACAGTGGTACCGGCCGGTCTGCCCTTACCACTCAAGGCCCCGAGCTTCAGGAAGGCAGGGGAGGTGTCATGCCACCAGGGCATGTGGCATGTGGTGAAGGGGCTGAGGCTGTGGTCCGGGGCTGCTTGAAGACTTTATAACCCAGGAGTACTGCCCAGCCGGGAGATTCCAGTGGAAAATGCAGTGCCACCCCTAGAAGCCAGCCCAGGCCACACAGGCCTCCCGCATCTCTGGTTCCCTCCCCAAAGGATGAGGTCCGGGGGTCAGACCAGGACTTGAATCCCGCCTCTGCTTCTCAGTGGCCTGTGGCAGTCACGTCCTCTCTTCAACCTTGACTTCCCCATCTCTGGAATGGGAAGGCCACAGTGTTCCTGGGAGGATTCCATGAGCCACCGCGGGGAAACTTCATAGCTCAGCACAGTGTCTGGCAGATGACAGGCGCCCGATAAACATTAGCTGTGGAGCTGTCCTGGAGCCCGAAGGAAAAAATAGGCCCCTCCACTTTTCCCAGATTCCTCCTCGTATTCTTTCCTTTCCAATTCCAGAAGCAGACACGGGGTTGGGGGGACAGGAAGCGGGGGCCACCTCCAGGCCAGCTCAAGGTGGGGACAGGGAACACGCTACAGTGAGTGATTCCTTTCTTCCTGTCCAGCGTCCACGTCACACCTTGGGACACACATTGGGCTTGACACCACGCCTGCCACGGAGAAAGGCCAGCTCACCACTCGGACACACAACCAGAATGCCTTCGCTCGGGTTTTTAATATGAATTTTAACAGTCTAGGTAGTCAGCTTTCCTGGCGCAGAAAAGATGTTTGGGAGTACTTGTCTATGTTTTAAATCAGTCGATGAGACTCTGACAGGCAAGGCGAGGTGGGCGTGCAGACCCAAGGATGCCCTGCGTGAGCGAGCTTGCGCTCAGGCCTATTTTTGGCAGGGCTGACGTGGCCAAGGCCAGCTGCTGGTGTGGCACTAGATTTTATACCGGACACTGGCTCCTGGGCAATACTCCCTGGGTTATAAAGTCCCCAGGGCCTTCACCCCTTCAATGTGAACCTCTTGTGTTCTCGCTGAGTACAAAGGTACCGAGTACACTGCCCACTCTCAGGGAGCTCCAAGTTTCAAGGGGGTGGCAGGCGACAAAGCTGACAATTATAACAGGGTGTGATGTGAGCTATTACGGGAGGGAACGCAGGGGCTGCAGGAGTGCTGACGATGGGCATTTAACACACAAAGGTAGGAAGGAGGGTAGCCAGGGATGGCTTTCTGGAAGGAAACAATAGCTAAGCTGAGCTCTGAACGAGGAAGAGCATGAGTTTCATAAAGAGACGAGGCAGGGCTTCCCGGGTGGCGCAGTGGTTGAGAGTCCACCTGCCGATGCAGGGGACGTGGGTTCGTGCCCCGGTCCGGGAGGATCCCACGTGCCGCGGAGCGGCTGGGCCCGTGAGCCACGGCCGCCGGGCCTGCGCGTCCGGAGCCTGTGCTCCGCAACGGGAGAGGCCGCAGCAGTGAGAGGCCTGCGTACCGCAAAAAAAAAAAAAAAAAAAAAAAAGAGAGGGACGGGGCAAAGAGGAAACGTGCGCGATCTTCACCTGGGTGGTGGTTACAGAAGTATGGCCATATGCAAACGCCGCATTATGTGAGATGGGAAGAGTGCTCCAGGCACAGGGAGCCGATTGTACAAAGGCCTGGTGGTGAGAAAAATATACGGGCAGGCTGTTCCTACCCCTTCTGGGTTCCTAGAAATCTGAGGGGCAACGAAACACAGTGAAAGCACAGCAGTAGCAGGACAGTGAGCCTGGGGATCCTGAGATCCCTACTCCTCCGCTTATGAGCTGTGGGACGGGAGGCAAGTTGCTTTACTCCTCTGAGCCTCTGTAAAATGGCCACAGTACCACCTTCCCTGGAGGACTAGCATGAGGATTCCAAGAGAGTGCATGCAAAGGGATCACCCTGGTCCTCAGAGAGGCGGGGGAAGCCTAGCAACCCTGTGGGCACAGCCTGTTCTCTGGCTGCCCTGGACCTAGGGCTCTTCCCCCTTCTCAGGGATGCTTCCCAAGGGTTCTTATAGGAACACTCCACCCAGCCCGCAGGATGCTGGGAGCTGACGTTCCCATACCAAGTCAAGCACTGCCACCCATACATACACCCTTCTTGTTGAATCTACACCGCCACCCCACGATCCAGGTGGGAGCACTAATGCTCAGAGAGGTAAAACGACTTGCTTAAGGCCATGCAGCTGTGAAGAAGTGGCACCAAGACCTAACTCTTACTTGTGGCTCAGAGCAACCAGGACCTATCAAGGTATTTAAAGCATGGCTGATAATACTAAACACTTGTGCTTGTTCTAAATACTTCAGGCGAATTCACTCACTTAATCCTTCCCGACAACTCAGAGGAAGGTACCACTTTTATCCCGATTTTATAGTGCATGAAACTGAGGCATTCAGGGCATAAATGACTTGCCCAAGGCTGCATGCCTATCAAGACCCCTTAAATCAGGTTCCCATCCCAACCTGAGCCCCATGTCCACGTCCTCATCTCACACAAACCTCATTCATTGTCCTCAACTTGTTCCTGCCAAAGGACCTTTGCATTCGCTGTGCCCTCTGCTCCAAATGCCAAATGCTCCGACTGGTCTTCACGCAGCTGGTTCCTTCTTACTTGGGTCTATTCCATTATCACCTCCCCCGAGAAGCCCTCCTGGTCCCCTCAAAAGAAATGTTTCCTTGCCCCTCCCCCAACTCTCATGCCGTCGGATTGTATCTTCTTCACGGAACTTGACTCCAGTGGGTTGATCTGTTTATGCTGTGCATCTCCCCTCAGGAAATCAACCTCTCTGGGTCTGAATGGATAAAAGCGCTCAGACTGTGCCAACCCCTTTCACAGAACTAGGGGGAAGTCCACTTGAAGTTCAGATAACGGAAGGCATTATCCTCCCCTCTAGTCTGACCTCAGAACTCCTTCCCTGACCTCCTCTGTCTCCCCTCCCTCTTCGGGGTGTGAAATCTGAGTTCTGAGCAGCAAAAAGGGAAGTCACATCAGCCACCTCTAGGAAAGCAACAAAGCACGGAACCCTCAGCTTCTATCATCCGGGTCGGAGGCTGGGCCCAGGAAACTGACAAGATTCCCAGCATGCTCTGCAGCCCCGTCACCTGTCAAACCCACAACCAGATGGAATTCCCCCAGACTGCCTGCCACGAGGGGCTGCCTGAGAGACTGCGGCCAGCCCACCCTTCCTGCAGAGATACCAGCCTCAGAGAACCCCCATTTCTAACCAGCCAGATTTAAGGCAGCCAGAGGGCACTCAAGAAATAATAAAAACAGGGGAAATCCAAGAAACTCAGGTGACAGGAATCCTACCTCCTCTCTCACGTGCGCCTTGTTGAACTAGACTTTATAAAACTTTTTGAATAAGTGAAAGTCACACATGGTTCAAAATGAAAACATAAAAAAGTTAACAGTGAAAAGCTCACCCCCCCTTCATCTTTTCTACCAAATCCCCCAATAAGTATTATTCTTAATTCCTTGATGCAAATAAAAGTTACAAAAATATACTCTTACTCCCCCTCTTTAAAAAAAAAAGGGGTTCCATATGATATATATGCACCACAACTTTTTTTTTCTCCAGTTGAAGATAGCTCTATATTTGTACACAGGAAGGTGTCCGCGTACATGTCTGTGTATGTATGCATGTGTAGACGCAGACACCAATTATTAAGGGCTTTCTGTAATTTTCACCCAATTCTCCTGGAAAGAGGTGTTTAGATTGGGAATCAGGTGTTTAGATGGGGAGTCAGGAGGGGTCATTTTTCAGCTCACGCACAAATGGCGGGGCCGCTCCCTCCAGCTGATCCACCATGGCCGCTGACTGTCTGCACTAAACTCGAAGCAGGCACCAGGAGCCAGCTCCTGACTGGAAATAACGCTGCAGCTACTGTTTTCTTGAGCATTTATCTACAAAATACTAGCAGAAATCCCATTCTAGAAGGAAGGAAACAGAGACAGAGAGAGGTAAAGTGACTAGCCCAAGGACACACAGCCAGGAAGTAGCGCTGGCGGGGTTGACACCCGGTCTGCCCATTGCCAAAGCCAGTCTGCCCACTCACCTGGCCTCTCTCGGTCTTCAGTCCACACCCCCCTTCACGGCCCGTAATAGAACCGGGTACCAGGGTCAAGTTCCCAGCCCGGCTGGACTTGGGCGGTCAGGCGCTTCCGCCATCACTTCCCTGCGGTCAGCTCGGCCCGCAGCCCGGCCTCCCGGTGCGGTGCGCCCTGCCCCAGGCGGATACGGGGCGCACAGCCTCTGCGGGCCCGGGAGTCCGGGCGAGCTCCACGAAGGTCGCCGGGCTCCAGCAAAGTGCTCTTCGGGCGCTGCCTCGCTTAATCCTCCCAGTTACCCATGGTGAGGTAGCGGGGGACCCGCCTGAAACCATTTTACAGACGGGAGGCTCAGAGACCCGCTCACCCGCGCTAAGGTCGCGGGGCCGGGCTCCCACCCAGCTCCCGCCGACTGAAAAACTTTCCTCCCCCTGCGTAATCCTGAATCCAAACGACTTTCAGGTGCGGGTCGCGTACAACAGCTGAGCGTCCATGGGCGCCAGCTCTCCCGGCCCGGGAGCCCGGACACTGCTCCCTCCCGGGTCCGCAGTCCCAGGTTCAGGGGTTCCCAGCCAACTCCGAGAGCACCGAGGCAGAACTGCCGCGACACTTACTCAGCATCACCGCAGCCTGCAAAGTGGCCGGCGGGGACCCATTTGAAGGAGGGGGAGACTGAGGCGCAGAGAGAGCCAGCTACTAGTCCAAGGTCACACAGCGCGGTGGCCCGAAGCCCAGCGGGTGGCCGTGGGCTGGCAGCCCCCGTGCCAGCCGGCCGGCGGTCGCGGTCCCCGTCACCGTCCCCCGCGGGATACTCACAGCCTGTCTTGCCCTCGAGCTCCCGCACCTCCTCGGACGCGGAGTGGGTAGCGCCCATGGTGCCCGCGGCGGGGGCCCGGGGGCGCTCGCCCCTCCCAGGCCCTGGGCTGGCGTCGGCTGCGCAGCGGCGGGTCCGGCCTCGGATCCGACACAGGTCGGGACGCCAGGAACTGGTCTGAGCCGCGGGTTCCGCGTGGGGTGCGAGCGCGGCCTCTTATAGCGGCGGCGGGCGGAGCGCCATGGTCCTAGTGCGCTCCGGCTTCGCGCATTGCCGGGAGTGGGGAGCGCCCCGCCCCGGGCCGGAAACGGCGGGGAGAGAGGTGAGGAGAGGAGGGGGACCCAGGTTCCCCATTCCCCACAACCGCGGCCGTGCTCGTCGCGCCTCACCCCTTCCGCACCCCTGCCGGCTGTGGGAAGAAGGTGTGAGCAGAGTTGGGGGTATAGGTAGGAGGCATCAGACCCCACGGAGGTTCCATGCCCACCGCCACCCCTGTTCCACTACACATCCCCCCAGATGTCAGGAGGGAAACTCCCTGGGAACAATGGAGAAGGACAGCATTAATTATCTCTATGGTGAACAGCAATAAAGATAATATAATAACCATAATCCAACCTGAATGCGCAAGTGGGGGGTCTTTCTTTGGTTTATTCCAGGAAAGCCCACCCTGATGAAGTGGGCACACCCACGTACAAGACTGGCCTGTCCTAGCTACTCAGCCTAGTTGCTTAGGGTGGGGACGTTCTCAGTCTTTAGGTTCAGGGATTCTGACTCAGGCAGGGCCCAGGAGGCTGCATTTCAAACTACCAGAGAGAATGCCATCCTTCTGGGAGAAGTTTTGCCTGAAGCTGACTGAAGGAGTTGGGTTCCGTAACCAGGTTGGGTGACCCCGGCCAGTCCTGCCACCTATCTAACCATGATTCCTTCTCCTTAAGATGGGGATAATAATAGTTAATGAGACATAGATCAGAAAGGCCTGGCCTGGGACACAGCGCAAGACAGCCGCTGTGGAATCATGTCCACTTTACAACAGAGGAACTGGTTCTCAGAAGGGTCACATAGCCAGGGCATCAATTCAAAGTCAACACTTTCCCTGTCTCAAGCCCAGGCCATTGTGCTCCACGTGCCTGGTGACGTGGCCATCAAGGATTGGCATGTATTCAGGGTCTGTCCTGGGTGCCAGGCTCCGGTGACAGCGCTGGGGGGCGGCGGTCATGGAGACTTGATCTGGCTCACCTACATCCACATCACAGAGCGCTGGGGAGGGAGTGCTGAGAACCAGGTGCCCATACCTGCAGGCCACAGGTCCAAGCTGAGGGTTATAGCACTTTCCAGGGACAAGGATGCCGTTCAGAGTCGCCAGGGGCCTCCTGAAACCTGCCAGAGCAGCAGAGTCAGCCCCCTCCTGGTTGAAAATCCAGCTCCCCTTTACACTCTGTCAGGACACTCACAGAGCTGGGGCGGCACCTGGAATGTGCATTTGCAAAGCTCGCGGGCGGTTCTGAGACCTAGCCAAGCCGGGGAAATGTTGGCTGTGGGGGCATCAGCTGGTCCTAGCAAACTGGAAAGCCGCCTGGGAGACTGCATGTCAGGTCAGAAGGAATCTAGAAACCCAAACTGGCCTCTGGATCAAGAAATGGGGCCCTGGGCCCCTTGGGAATTACCCACAACTGCTGGACACAATTTTGTTCTGACTTAAAATATCTGTTCCTGGAATTTTATTATATTAAATTATCCAAGGATTAAATGCTGGGGCTTTTTGCTGGGGAGATAGAAAATGATGTTCTCATGGCTACATCTCCTCCCCTTTGGCATGGTTGCTCTCAGAGCTGGTACAGTACAGGTGGGCGGGGGTAAAAGCCCTGGGACAGTGCCCTGGGGCAGGCAGGGGGCACGTGGCCTGGCTCTGCCCCTCGGCTGATCGCGGAGAGACTCCCAGTGTATGGGGTGAAGGGAGGTGGTCTTTGCTCCATCGTCTGTCTACCCAGTCAACTTCATCTCAAGCTCCGCTGGCCACGGTCAGTTTCTAGACTAGCATTTGTGCTGGTCCCTTCTGCCAGGAACTCCGCTGCTCTCCATTTTCCCGTGATCGGGGCTCCTCAGATCTCAGCATAAACATCACCTCCTTGGAGAGTCCTTCTCAGGGCCCCCATCCGCTCTCCTGGGTCTGCTGCCATACAGGCCACCTTCTCCAGCCAGCGGGAGCTGGAAGGCTGGGTGTGATGAGCACAGGGAATTTGTTCCTGGTGCCAGGGCTTGGAGAAAGAAGCGGGAGCTCCTTGTGGCAGCAGGAATATGCGGGCTTGCTTGTTCATTCATTGATTCATCGCCCATTTATCGAAGGCCTGCTGTGTTCAGGGGCCTGCCTGGGGCCTGGAGCCACACTTCTGCTCTTAAGGGAGTCCTGGAGGAGTGGGAGACAGACACACAGGAGGTGACAACGCAGCGGGGTAAACAAGGCCCCGCAGAGATCTGGAATGTTCAAGCTGGAATGGCCGCTGGAGAGACTGTTAACCCCTAAGCTGAGCTCTGGGGAGTCCATGACTGTCCCAAACTGTGGTCCCAAAGGGACATGCCAGAGGCAACTACTGGCTGGACAGAAGTACCTGTGAGGTTTGGGGGCCCTGAGGTCACCCACCCTCTGCCTGGGCTTTGCCTCCTTCTCTGGCAATGATGCACACACACGGCAGGGCTCTCTGCACACAAAGCCTGCTGCCACTGTTCCAGGACATCAGGCCTTTAATTCAATCCTGCTAATGGCGTCAGAGCACCAAGGAGGTCTGGAGCGCTGCGTGGGGTCTGGCTGGGCTGATTGGATCTGTTGTCTGGAGCCCTGGAAGAGGGGGCACCCTGTGTGGTGATCTTTATCCTCCCCCTCACTCAGTGTGACCTTCGGAGAGCTAGGGAACACTTTGGTCACCAGGCAACTGCCTCTCTTCTCCCAGAGGAGCTGATTACAAACAGTGGCTGCAGTGAGAATGGCTGGTACCTGTGAGGCCACCAAGGGCAGCTGAGCCCAGAGATGGTGAGGATGGTCTTCATTCGTCTAAGGGAAACAGACTACCGAACCACACTTGGGCAAGTGGCTTTGCCTCCCTGGGCCTCAGTTTCCCATCTGTAAAGTGGGAATAACAATGGTGCCTTCTTCATGATGTTTATGAGGGTTAAATGTGGATTCACATATCTAAAGGGCTTAAAACAGTGCCTGACACAGGAAGTGCTATCCAGTGGGGTGCAGGTAAACAGGCCCTGAGAAAACAGAGGAAAAGCTCTACTTTGCAACATTGCCCATTTCCCTGTTGTAAATACTCCCACCATGGTCAATTTCAAGGTACCAGTAATTGAACAATGGGCTTGCAAAATTCCTGAATGTTTAATAATTCGTTCTTGCAAGCTGGTCTGAGACAATTCAGCACACCACTACACAGTAGGCTGTTATTATGATTCATATGTTCATTTGTCCATTCATTCATCTATTCACTCATTCACTACTGAGTGCCAGGAATTCAGATACTACAGTGAGGTAGTCTCTGACCTCAGAGTCTGGAAGGAAAAAGATAGGAACAGACCATCATTAGTGTGTACACTACTGGGTACCCAATACATGCCCATTTTATATTTTTTAATTTTTAAAATAAATTTATTTATTTATTTTTGGCTGCGTTGGGTCTTCGTTGCTGCACGTGGGCTTTCTCAAGTTGCAGTGAGCGGGGGCTACTCTTCGTTGCGGTGTGCAGGCTTCTCATTGCGGTGGCTTCTCCTGCCGCGGAGCACAGGCTCCGGGCACGCGGACTTCAGTAGTTGTGACTCGCAGGCTCCAGAGCGCAGGCTCAGCAGTTGTGGCGCACGGGCCCAGCTGCTCTGCAGCATGTGGGATCCTCCAGGACCAGGGTTCGAACCTGTGTCACCCGCACTGGCAGGTGGACTCCTAACCACTGTGCCCTGGACCAGGGAAGTCCTGCCCATTTTATTGATGGGAAAACCAAGGTGTTCAGAATGGATGGTAAACCAGAATCAGAGTACACATATGCACTTGTGTAAATGGCAGTTCACCCGTATTGCCCTCCTGGCCCTCTGATAACTTAGCTGGGGGGGGGGTGTCTCCAAAGGGTTGGCAATGTTCTGGGAGCAACAAAACACTTTTCTTAATTTGGGGACCACTGACCCTATGAAAGTTACAGGGATTCCAAGTGCCATCTTGCTTGGCCTTTGACTTAGAGCAGACCACACCTAACCACTTCAAACAGGTGAGGATCAGTGCTGCTCTTGTAAATAACGTCCAGGGAAGGAAGCCCCAGAAATGGCTACACCAGTGTCTTGACTCTGAAACAGCTTTTCTCTTAAGCTCACTTAAGCTCCTTATGCTGGTCTCATATGTCTTGGTCTCTTGGTTTCAGTGTGAATGGAATCAGAGAAGAATCATCCCCAATTTGAATTTTGAATTAAAGGTGTCCTTTTGGTTATCTTTTATTTGTTTTACTTATTTTTTTGTTGCTAATATATTTTTTAACATCTTTATTGGAGTATAATTGCTTTACAGTGTTGTGTTAGTTTCTGCTGTATAACAAATGGAATCAGCTATACATATACATATATCCCCATATCCCCTCCCTCTTGCATCTCCCTCCCCTCCCTATCCCACCCCTCTAGGTGGTCACAAAGCACCTCCCTGTGCTATGCGGCTGCTTCCCACTAGCTATCTGTTTTACATTTGGTAGTGTATATATGTCCATGCCACTCTCTCACTTCGTCCCAGTTTACCCTTCCCCCTCCCTGTGTCCTCAAGTCCATTCTCTACGTCTGTGTCTTTATTCCTGCCCTGCCCCTAGGTTCTTCAAAACCATTTTTTTTCACATTTCATATATATGTTAGCATACAGTATTTGTTTTTCTCTTTCTGACTTACTTCACTCTGTATGACAGACTCTAGGTCCATCCACCTCACTACAGATAACTCAATTTCGTTTCTTTTTATGGCTGAGTAATATTCCATTGTATATATGTGCCACATCTTCTTTATCCATTCATCTGTCAATGGATATTTAGGTTGTGTCCATGTCCTGGCTATTGTAAATAGTGCTGCAGTGAACATTGTGGTACATGACTCTTTGAATTGTGGTTTTCTCAGGATATATGCCCAGTAGTGGGATGGCTGGGTCACATGGTAGTTCTATTTTTAGTTTTTTACG